ACCAGTTTTGACAATCCAGAGCTTTTATTGTAGTTTGATACTAAATTCTGTAAAAAACCAGACTTTCTAGCAGTATAAAAAAATTCCCTTTGCTATCAGTATAATTCTATTTACTTGATTATCGTGACAGCATTAACTGACTTCATCCATTTCCTTTCAGATTCGTGTTAGGCAGCACTGATTCTGTCAATAGTGTTTTCTCCTGAATATTTGAGAGAACTCTTTCAGATGGCACTAAGAACTGAGGCAGACCTAGCAATACAAAAACTAGAAAATACTACAGATAAAAAGCACAGTAACAATCTGCAACACTGCACAGCCAAGCACTTCAAAATGCAAATGCATGTACTTCAGGAAAATTTAATTTGTTGTAATTGGTCTGACTGCTATTGCCATATCATCTGGAAATACTAAAAAGAAAGGAAGAAAGAAAAACCCAACCCCAAAAGAAATGAAGACATGGTAAAAAAAAAAAATTATAAAATACTGTGCCTAAATACATAGTTATGGCCTTAAAAACCAGAAACCACAGCCCCTGTTTTTGGTTTTCTTGGGGTTTGGGGTTTTTTTGCTTGATCTTGGTTGGTTTGATTTTTACAGACTACTGTTTCTACAGAAGACATTTAGGTTTCTTACCACTGAATCCACTACAGCCTCTATTACCACACTTCTATAATAAAAGGACCTTTGAGATGGGGACAGTGCTAAATAAAAGCAACCTCATAAATCTTACCCTTTGGTGTCTCTTCTCCGATCTTAACCCAGCGTCTATTATTTTCATTTGTACATCATGTCTAAATTTAGGGCTGACAGAGCTCTAGTCGTTTATACCAGCTGATCTAAGACCAAGCCCTTTGTATGTTAAGTTTTATGGGATATATGTAACAGACCAAAATCTTACTAGTTGTCTCCATGGCCCTAAGCCCATTTGGAGCAGTCACCAAAGAGTCAGAGTCCCCAGGTTTACCTCCGTTAACAAAAATTCCCTTCCATATAGTATCTTGGCTAGGAGAAAACCTCTAGCACTTCTGAAATTTGACTGGGGAAAAGCATGAAGTACCACCTTCTATTTGAGAGGTGCAACTTGCTGCTGCAGAACTAGATGACAAGTAAGTACATCTTCTGGTATAGTTATTGTATGTCTCTGGCCCAGGCTCGTGATTCAATTCTGAAAATTAAACAGCAGCATAATTCCAGTATGAGCTTCGTATTTTTAGTATACACTAAAAAGTACCCAAAAATGTGTACTTCGAATAACAAACAAGATGTTATCGACACTGTGCTTTTGTTCACCAACCATAGGCAATTCTTAAATTATTGTTTACTAGGATGGCGTTGGGAATAAGAAGGGTGCAGCATCATGCATGGTACAGTAGAATTATTGCAAAATTTGTATTTTAAACTCCAAATCTGCTGAGAGAGGAAAATCACTAAAGTGACAGTCAGGGGAGAACAGAATGTATAAAACAAGACAATGTCATTTTGATTTGATCTGGACAAAGATGAAAAATCTGCATCTGCCTCTCCAGTGACAGAGGACAGATTTTTCCTGTTGGCATTCTATTTTACATATATTCTCAAAATACGTATTTCAGATACAAGCATGGTCAACAATCTACTCTTTGCAATAAGAGCCTCTGCTGGAGATGGATGAAATGACAGAACATATCTGAGGATACAGCAAGTTCAGCCAATAGATAGAACAACACTGGCATCTAAGGAGTTCAAGGTTAATTCCCTTTCTGGAACTAAACAGCAAATGGTACCAGAGTCCAAGCAGGAACTGGGAACAATGCCATGACCAATGCTCTGTTTTTCCTCTATAGTGGTCTAAAAATAACCTTTTTGGATGTCTGATGAGAAAAACACCAGCCTGTAAAGCCATGGATACATACTTCACCACTCCTTTAGACAAAAACAAGGAAACAGATTAAAAAGAGGATCTGAAACAAATCAATGCAGACACATTCACTGTGGTACTTCTGCATTTTCTTTTTTTCCACAGTTCTAGTCTCAGAGAAGAAGAAGGAAGACACTAGAAGGAAGCTCAGCCTTAACAGTCACACAGCCAGACTACAGGTTGTGAGTTTCAGCACTATTGTGTACACTACAGCACTTCTCCTTAAACAGCACATACAAATAAAAAGGACACCCTCTCACATCAGCTTCATAAGCCCAAACAATGAAGGCTAAAAGCCTTTCATTTTCTGAACCTAGCAGAATTCACTCTGAAAGACAACTAAGTACCCCCTTCCCTTCTCACTCAGCTGCCAGCTCTTTCTGTTCGTGGTTTAGGGGCACAATCCCAGACTACCAAAATCAACAGCACTGACTGAAATTATAGCCAAGGTACCTGTTTGAAAAGAACTTCTCTCCAGCCAGTGTTCCCTCTTTTAAGTGTAGTGTTGATGTAAGAAGGAAAAAAAACACCCAACAACCCAAACCCAGCACACCACTCTACTCCGAAGTCTCCCTCCCCAAAGGACAATGGCAAGCACAAAATCTTATGCCATAAAGAGATTTCAAAATCGTAAAACAATTCTCAACCTGTATTTATTTACACTTAGGAGTGTTGCTAAAGAGGACCTAAATAAAAGAATTCAAAAATTTTAAAAAAGGAAATAACCCCAAAGAAAACCAACATTTTACTCTTCCTACCTGCAGACAGCATTAAGTGTACTGAACTAAAAATCAATTTATATATTGAATCTCACCATAGGAAGCCTAGTAAAGGACGTGACCAAATGGTAAAATGAAAACCTGAATACCATCATTCCACTGTTTACAATCTCACGCTGAACTTCACTTTTTAGTTTATATTAAGACCGAAACTGATAAAACATCCGTTAAAAAGACCAGAGTTGTCATCAAAGCCAAAGATGATTAAGACATCTTGGCAACAGCCAAGAATAGAACAATATGATAATCAAAGCAGCATGGACATTTTGTGCCTATTATTCCATCACCGTACCCTGGTATCAAGTTATTTTGAATAAAGGCAGTAAAATGCAGTGCCTGCTATTATTTTTACCTGTGGAATACCAAAATTTACATTTCAAAATCTAAATGGAGAGCAACAATCATCTTCCAGAAAATGTAATCTTTCTCTTCTAAGTAAATACTCTAGAGAAAAACTAGAAAAAGGTGACCAAGATTGAAGTGAAGCAGTTGATAGGTGCAGTTGACAGATGACTCAACTGCTTCCTGGAAAATAATTTCCAGATATAAAATGTTCAACTCGGCTCAAGAGTTTTAATTCTTTGCTATGCAAGATGACAATGTATCTTTAGAGATAAAAAAGAAAATGCAATATCCTGACAGCTGCAAGGAGGCAATCTCCAGCAAGCTATGTGCAAGCCTGGTGAATTCTATGGTGCCATTCTGCATGACAGTAAACCAAATGTCGGTCAGAGGACTGTGGAAAGGGAACATCTTCATCCTGCTCCTAGTGTTGTGCTTTTGGATATATCTCATGCTGTCACCAGTAAGCACTGGACTCCTCTGTTGTGCTCCTTTATCTTTCTACAGCAGTAAAAAACAAGCACAGTAAGTAAATAAAGAGACCAGTATGGATGATTTTCTATTGTATTGGGTAATTAAGCATCTTGTGGAAGGATGTGACAGTCATCAGCACTAGCAGACATGGAAAAGCACTGGAAAATATAATGGGCAGTAGCCAAATCAGCGCTCTTTCTTTGGATGGCAAGGAACTATTGCCAGTCTAAAGATGGCTTTGCTGCTAACTTATGGTATCCCTTAACCACAACTCATTTATGCACTTGAAAACAAGCACAGTTGCCACCTTCCTCACTAGGATGTGGTGAGAGATGAAGTTTGAAACTGCCAGTGAACATGAAAGGGATAAATTATTATGGCTGCATTTTCATATGCATGATATGACTGGGAAAAAAAAGAAAAAAGAAAAAAAGAAAAACCTAAAACCAAAACTGTAATTTCATCACAGTCAAGATTATAGCCATGGGCGGGTGGGAATATAAGGGACAGTTTTCAAAGAAATAAAAAGGTAAAAGTGAACATAAACATTACATTATTTAATGACAGAGTTCCAAGTTCAATCAAATGGAAATCAGCTGTGTATTTATGATGCAGAAATAATGCCTAAGTCTTACAGCTAAACAAGGCAGTGTTGAAAGCCTAACATCTCTCGTTTGTCTCTCTCATACACCTCTGAAATAGGAGCTTGTTATAGCGAGCTCACTCATTGCTCCTCAGAGAACTAGTTGGACAGCTGAATCACTCAAGAGCTGAAGCTGCAGTTGATCCAAGCACTTATTTTCAAGGAAAAGTGTTTTTTCAAGAGGCACAAAATACAGCATTTATTATTTGCATTATGCTAGCTTTCATTTAGCAACTGAAAACAGCAATAACATCTCATTACAGTAGGGGCAGAAGGCAACAGACTCACTCCTTGAACACCTTCCTATGCTTAAATCCTACAGATGTCTGAACGCTTGCTTACAAATCATAAGTCAGGATAAGCAATAATAAATTAATCTCTCAACTTGATAGCCTATCTTTTGTCTATCAGTGACAGTTTCTAGAGACTGTGCACTCCAAAATCATCAGAGTATTTTAAACAGGTAATAAAAAAGGGTGACTAAAAGAATGGGGGGGGGGGGGCAAAGGGGCAGGAATCAGTAACATGGACCAGTGATCATACTGCATTCACCTAAAACCTACTGAACTTGAATGAAACCTGTCAGCAAACAACCGCTTTTGAAAGTAATGGAGCATAGGCATTCCAACACAGTTCTGACAAACCCACACTACCTCTGCATTGCACTGTTTCTAAAATATATCAATAAATGATTGAATGGATGACTACACATCAGTGAAGCCCACTCTCTGCTTAAATACTGTCATGTATTATTGAAACTAGAAAACAGTTTTACTGCAGACTGAACAGACATTTAATAGATCTCTCTTTGTAAGTAAAATATTTGTCACTGCACTGTTAACCCAGCCACATAGATACATACCTGGTAAGTAACACTCTTCTTTCCATCATCATTTGTTTGAGGCAAGGTCAGAGGTCCAGAAACTACCCAAACATCCTCAAATCTCTCAGTCAGTTCCCGACAATACATTTCCATTCTGGAACATATTTGTCAGAGAGGGTAAAATCAGCTGGGAAAACTTACCACCATAATCTTTGAAACATACTGTGAAGGGCAAGATGAATTCCTGAGGGTTTGGAAGCATTTTTGCAAATTCATGCAACTCACTCACAAGCCAACAAAGGTAAAACACAGGTCCAAGTCATACTTCCTACTTGTCCAGTTTAACTTACTTACAGATATGTTTGTGTTATTGCATGCATTTGAAAATGGTTTTTGTAGCCTTACCACCTGTCCTGAAAATCCAAGTTCTCTACTTACTATGCCTTACTCCCACACTTCACACTAGGATACTGCTGATGGTCACGTGGGACTAGTAAAATACTTGTTTTAAACATCAGTTTGTGGCGTTCTTGCTTCAAAACGTTTACTGCATTATTGGATTTGTATGTTCTTCCCCAAGGAATCAACGTCCTGCAATAGACTGCTCTTTCCATAGCTCAGCATACTTAGGAAAGTTTCTGTGTGCCATTCCCACTAAGTCTACTTACATTTTAATACAAAACTGTCTGAAAATAAAGTGGTAACTCCATAAAGACTAACTTTAGTTATAGAGTTGCATTTCAATCAAATGGACAAACAGACCAGAACATGTGATGATCAGCCCACCCAATCTGGATGCCTCTGAATGAGGAAGTTTCACCTCCTCCTGTCTCATCCCTGTTCCTCCTAACTCTCCCTTAGGCCACCTTAAGTACTTCTCATTTGTCAACAATCCTGAACAAAACCAGTCTTTTTTTTTTTTTTTTTTTTGTGCTAGGTTAGTGAGCTAAATCAGCTTACACACATCAGAATTTGCAGTAATGAGCCCGTTCTTCATGTGATACACCAAAACACTGACCAAAAGCTATTTTTTTTCCTGCCATCATCACCTTTGCTTCCAAGCAGCTCAGCTCCTCAGGCTGTTTCATAGCATGGCAATACAAACACCGCCTGGCACAAGGAAAGAGTGGGAATAAATGCAGCCAGGGAGCAAACTGCTTTTTAGTGGCAGCAGGGACAGAGATCAGGTTACAGCAACCATGAAATCCCTCTCAAAACAAGACAGGAAATGGTAGTTCAATACCAAGAGAGAAAGAAGTATGCATGTTGGTGGGAAGAGAATGAGGAATAAATACTAAAGTGCAGTTAGACCGCACCACTGAACTAATCTAACAGCTTACTATCTAACAGCTTGCTGAAAGATGCAGTCCTGAACCCCCCTTTCCTACTGCTCCCCTCGTCTGCCCCAGCTGAACAGTTCTACTCCACCTTCCACGTTGGCTCTGGCACTCATCTTACCAGTTGGTCCCATTTTCTAATTCATCAGAAACATGATCAAATAAAACAAAATGCAGATCAGTTTAACTGGGTTAGCAAATGAAACTGACTTACTGCAGTTTGGCTAGTATCAGCGCTGGAACTGGGAAAGCAGCAAGAACACATGGTTGGAGGGGGAACACAACTTAAAACAGATTGTTAAACTGACTAAGCTGTACTGCCTACCTGCACCTCAGAAGACAATTGAAGAAGCAAGCAATTAAAAAAAGAGAAAGGAAGACAGTTCTGAACCCTGGAAGGGATACAACACACATGAAACATAGTATACTTAAAACTATTTATCACTAAATGAGTGACTGACAAAACCAGTGGCACCAACACCTTGCTCTTGTATTTAAACTGTGGGAACAGAGTTCTGAGGTTGGGAGAAAGTGGTAATAGCTGCTTCAACTGGGGGGTGATAGTGCCAAGGGAAATTTGTCAAATACTCCCCCATGATTTCATAATTATGCAGAGATCCTGCTCAAGGGAAATAAAGAGGATTTCCAACCTTGAACTGGTACAAATACCTAGCTCTGGTATAAGTAAATTTTATATGCACATACACAAGGTATTAAAACAATACAAAAAAAACCTCTTAAAATGTTATAGCATTTTATTTGTCTATAAAACAGTATAACCTTACTGAATGCCTCATATGATTCTATATGCATTCTTCTAAAACTGGAAAGCAGTGTGCAGTTGCATGATGATACATTTTCTTGTAAACTTTTAGTAAAATGCTTTACATAATTTTGCTAACCTTCCTTTGAGGTTAGCTGTGAAATTCATCATTTTCACACTGTGAAATTCATCATTTTCCCTCCTGTTTCTGAGTCTTAACATTGTATAAGTCCTATGCAAGAAACACTAAATGAATGCTACTTTTATTAATGTTCTTCTGTGCTCAAAGGAATGAAAGAAAATCCTAAGTGAAGAAAGTTTAAATTTATCAACCACTCACTTTCCCTCCAAACTAATCCAGCCAGTGCTCACACGTGACAGAGAATGTGGCTGACTGCTACTTGAAGCCAGAACCTGAAGAAATGCCCTAGACCTGAAGTAGTCACAACTCAGTGGGAAGCACTCAGTTGTCCAATTCAAAGTGAACCAGTGTCCACATAGTGCATACTCACACACTGCCAAGTGCTTTTTTGTAAGTGCTTTTTTGAGGAAAAGATGTTAAAGCACGATCTAAATCCTTTCCTTGCTTCTACTGAATTTTCCTTAAGGGCAGAAATGTTAAGCCGGGTACCTTTATCCACATCAGCCAGAAGAAGTAATTTTATCTATTCTAAATAAAGGTCCTGCAGTTTGACAGAATAAAGAACTAAAGCAGTCGTTATACTGTTCTTGCACTGTGAGGACTGTCCTGCATTTCAGAGAAAGTTCCTATGATCTCTACAGATAGCCTACAAAAAGCACCAGAATACTTGGATGTAAAGAAGCTCTATAAATATAGGATTTCTTATTTATGCCACTGCCTAATATTTTTCACATAGTTTACTTACAAGTAGTTTCCCACCTGTTCCAAAATCCAGCATTATTTTCATAATTCTGAGGCACGATGTTAGACAGATAAAATGTTTCAGCCATGGCTCTCTGCATAGAGAAAAGAAAGAATATTTCACTGAAATATTTACAAGCTAAACACACATTTTAGAAGATTTTGGATCAAGATACATTTTTAGTCTAGTCTTCAATTTATCAACAGAAAAGAACAGATAAAAGCTAAGTCAGAACACCTACAAAATGATTTTGGATTAAGAGGTGAATAAACTGAGGTGATGCAAAATGTAAGTAATTTTTTTTTATTTTTTTTTTTTACTGAAACATAGCACAAGAATATCAGTTCTAGAAGCACAGGAATTACTATGTCACCCAATGTCAGTTTTGTACTGTCTTCTTTCTGAATGGGAAGAATACTTTCACCCATGCTTTTCCTTTATTTGACTGCCTAATGGCAAGCTTTTTCCTTCCAAGAAATGGTTTTATTAAAAATATTCATTAATATTTTACAAATCCATAACATGCAGGCAGTTAAATGATTTATGAGACCACAGTGGTCAAACATCTACATATCTGCTTAATTTTATCTTTAAAAAGTGTCATAAACCACTCTGAACAGAAGCCCATATATCTCCAAATGTGAAGGACCTGGAGCTAAATAGCTACGCATAAGCAGGCAAATACAGGAGAAAAACTTAACCCAGAATCTTCACATATCCTGTAGTTGTCAATATTCTTCACACACTACTTCTTCAAAGTGAAGGGGCTGACAAAACTCCTTCGGATAATGAGCAAACAGTACCTGCACTAATTAAACTGTGGAAGATTGTATCACCTCACCGTATGTCAAGCCAGGTCCAGGATCTCTCTACACATGTAGCTTACCAGCACACACCACCACCCCCCCCCCCAGATACCACACATAAATAACCACAAAGACACTTCTATTAGAAATAAAACAACTGTTCTTTCCTCCACCACATTCCACTGTGTTGTCACTCTGCCCCACTACATACTGTTCTGCCTGGCAGAAATACAAATTCAAACTGCTTCTTAATTGACAAATTGCTGCATTAGGCACATTCCACAAGACGATCCAATAAATTCAAGGTTGCTTTTTAGTCGGCCAAAGCATTACGGCATGCTTTCTTACAGCTCAAATAAATGACGGGTGAAGACATTTTATAGAGTGAAAGAACTATGGCAAAAGAAGGGTCTAATTTACCTCATACATACTGCCAGAAAGAAAAAAGCCTTTTAAATCATCCAGGCAATCCCCTTGCCAATACAGAACAGTACTTAACAGCATCTTTGCTTTGCCCAATCTGGCCTTAAGCATCCCAGCACCTGCTGGCCAGAATGAAGTCATCATTCCCTGTCTCCTTTTAACCAAGCTTCAGAAAACACTTTCGAGGTTTGTTTGGTGAAGGTTATCACCTTCATTTTACAGACAGACAATGTGACACACAAAAAGTTGAGAAGGCTTGCTTAACACTACACTGTACAAGATATACTCACATCATCTCTGCCAAACAAGCTAATCTAGATGTGGTTTATTGAAGAAAGGTATGTCACCAGAGGATGCACCTGATTTAGACACCTGAAGCAGTCTGTGAGAGCTTCCTACAGTGCTCAGTCAGGGACAGACCTTGTAACTGCAAGTCCAGGTCTGCGCATCAATAATGAGATCATGTTCCAACTCAAAACAGACTGCAAAAGGAACATCACACATCACTTTTAAGGGCCTTTAGATACTTTCTGACTGATAAACACAAATTAAAAAGAAAGAAAAAAAATCCTACTGTTGAAAATTTGTTATCTCCTGCAGGTGCCATGTGTCCTCGTGACCATCCGCTTCCAAGGTAGTCTTCATTGACAGCACTAAACATTAGCGGGATGTTAGGATCTGGCCTGAATTTACAGTGCCTTCGGTCTGCATTGCCTGAAGAATAACATGCTAAATTGTTAGGTTATCATAACAACATCATAACAACCACACAAAAAGAACTGGTTCTGTCATACCCTGCCAAATGAACCATGCTTAAGGATTCAACACATTGAGCTAAATGGGATGTTTTCCTTCTCAACCATAAAAAAAAGAATAATTCTGGTTAAGTATCTGTGCTCCAGTTCTAAATTCCTCCTCACCACACACTAGAAATTCTAACATGCCTTCTGTTTTACAGAGGAAAAAAAAAAACAAAAGCAAAATACTTTAGCCTTATCACAAATGCAGATTAATATTAAAGAAAAGGCTGATAAAGCTATAAACCAGCACAGATTTGCTTTTTAGGGCAGTGAAGACACACAGATCTTCACCAACTGGAATTCCATTTTTATGTTTCAGCCACTACAAGTATTTCTTCTTGCATTTCTTCCAGTCTAGCCTGGAAGTAGAATGGGTGCATACTGATAAAGTTACACTTGGTAAAATACTAAACCCATTCAGGAGAAAGTCTTAAGTCATTTGATCTTCACAGGCACAGAAGGAAGTGTTCCTTTCCAAGATTCCCCTGCTGCCTTTCCAGACATTTGGGAATTATGCGCAAAAAACGGCTAGGCCCAAATTCCTCTGGTAGAGAAAAACATTTTGAGGGATGCTTGCAGGGAGAGCTAACTTAACTGTTGCAGAGGTGGCAGCCCATTCTAAGCCGCTGTCTTTGCTGGAGAGCCTGTGCTTTCTTCCCATGTTTACTGACCATACACCTGTATTTGTGTACTGGCAGTGTGTAAACTCCCAGTCAGCTCCTTGTAGAAGAAAGTACTCTGAGTGGGCTGCAACTCCGAGAGGACTCCTTCATAAACACTAACTGCTTCCTTGGGAAAGTGATGGCCAGACAAGACTTGCATGAGTTATTCTGGCACCGACAGCTTCCAATAAGACACCACCCTTCTTGAGGAATGGCCCAAGATCTTCCATGGTTAAGGAAGGTGCTGCAGAGTAGTGGAGGCACATGCAAGGGCTGACTCAGCTGCGCCTGCACAATGGCTCTGCACAGGCAGCAGCACAGTACACAGCTGAAAAATAACTCGCTTAGAGCACCATCACTATTGTGCAAATTTCCAACCCCCCAAATGATAAAATAATTCAAAGTTTGTACAGCATACTGATTTTTTTAAATAAAATTCAAGGTGTCATCTTAGGCATAATTTCACAGGGCCGTTATGTAGTCTCTTTCCATTTAAGCATGAATCAGTACACACAGGAGAGAATTTTCCTCAGACTTGGCATTTTATAAAGCATTTCCTGTTGCAACAACATGAAGGGCAATTTTCAGTAGTGATCACTGCTAGTTGTTAAAATTATTCTTTCTTCTGTAGCTGACTGTGCATACACACACAAGCTGTACCCACTCTGGCTTTTTTTTTTTTGTCACATCAATATTGCTACTGAGCGCATATGCATCCTATGCTTCTTTGTGTTACATACTGAGAACAAAGTGTGGTACATGCTCTCCACTTGGCAACTCTGAAGAACTCAGGACCATCTGTCTGTATGTCCATGTAGGTGATATCAAAACAGAGCAGAGGTCAGAGGACCTTTATGCAGTGCAGGCAGAAGGAAGGAGCTTCACTTTTCATTTTTGGTAAAGCATGTGACACTTCAAGACAGGATTGATGCTTTGGGAGCAACACTGATAAGTATATCAGCGTGAAAAACGAGACTTATTTAAAAAAATCATATTTAATTTCAGTATTTAAGACAAACGGTAATTTACCAATTAACTTGAAAAGTGGAAAAATATATTTATTCTCTACTCATTGTCAAGATAAAAATGGTTAATTTCTTCTGTAACCAGTTTTGTACACCTCGTTTACATGTATGTTTTTAAACATTTGATCTCTTACTTACCAATAAAATATGGGGTTTTTTTACACCACATCCTTTCAAAACTCTAAGACTTGGCTTTTGTGACCTTCCCTGAACAGCAATAAATCCCCATTATGGTAGCTATCAGGCATAAGTTGGAGCTGAATGCATCAAGATGCAAAATTTCAATTTGCAGATTAGCAGTATCCGATAATTTGGAAAATATCTTACCAATTCGGCTGTTAAGACCCACTTCAAAGTAAGCCTGGAATTACTGCTTTCTTTTCAGAAGTGGAATCAATGATGCTACTTAGGGGATGGTTATAAATATTTTCAGGATCATGCTTTTCATTTTGAAAGGTAATTTGAAGACAGTGATTAAGATATATTTAGAGGGCTACTGCATCCATAAAACATTTTACAATTATACAGTTATCTCCATTACTAATAATTTGCTTTACAAAAGCTGAACTAATGCTATAAACTTAATTTACAATGACTGTATACTACTCATACTTCATTCCCTGTTGACAGCAGAAAATCACCGAGCCTCTGTCCTGCTTAAAGAATAGGGGAGAGCATATCAGATAACGCACATCAGAAAATACAACAGAATGGCACCAAAGTAAATAATGGCTGCAGTCAGTAGGGAATGCTCTATCTAGCTTTGAACGATTACAACTGTTGACACCCTTTGTTCCATTTTTATCTCACAAATAGGCATCCATCTTCCCTTCTCATTCTGAGCAAACCTCTATATTCTGTAGATTAAGCAGTCTGGCCACTTCACAAGCCTTCACACATAAGGAGCACTCTGTAAACTGAAAAACTGGACCACAGAACTACATTGGCTAAGGAAGCAAGAACGATTTTTATGTGCTTGAGCAGGTCTGAATAGGGTAAGGAAAATTTAATTTTCAGTGTTTCGTTTTTTCTCCATTCATGTTTAAAAGATGTATGCTAAGATTCCCCCCTGCAGCATGACTTGAGTGTTTACACTGACACAGCTATATTGGTCTGGTGCTTACGGACTGTTCATAACAGAAATTTCTCATGGAAGGTAGCTATAGTTCTTCATTTCTCCCTTTCATACTCAACCCATTTGGCCAAGTGTATTTTACTGGCTTCAAGACATTGTTCAATACCAGACTAGTCCCAACAAGAGAAAGAATACTGAAGAATCCTCCTGAACTGCAGTGACAGATCTCTTCAATCACTGGCAACATCAGCCTTAATACTGTTGTGATGCTAACATTTACCCAGAGGCCTGCTGCCTTCGGTGGGATTGTGAATCCATGGAAAAATCCATACCTAGAGATCACTGTGGGATTTTTCTCCCTGCCTGCTCCAAGGTCTGCCTTCTTTGAACAGCACAGCCCATTCTAGATGTCATATAAAGGTAAATAAATAAATACCTACATACCAAGCATCTTCTGCTTTGAAATATGTTCAATCACCCATCTGGGCACCCGTTTTGCCTGGTCATAAGACAGTGCATGATTTGTGTAACATCTGGTCTCTGTTCCAGCCTCAGGGAATCCATACTTTTCCAGCAAAGACTCCTCTACTGGTTCTAAGGAGAAAAATAAATAGGAAGCCATTCACAGGTGAACTGTGATCAGAAACAAACCAGTAAGAAAAGCATTTCAGTGGATGTAAACATACTGTACAGGGTACTACCTGAGGTTACTGCCACAATTAAGACTTATAAAAATACAAAGAGAGCTATCCAGTGAAGCTCCCTCCTACTAAAAAAACTTGTGCTTTGTCATGTCCTCACACGAGGATCTCACAGGATCCACACAGACATTTCACCCTTCAGAGCTGAAAACTGCACTCCTCCTCACAAAGTGAACTGTACAAGTTGTGCACAAGCATGAATACTGCCCTCACTGGGAATGCTTACATTCTGCTGAATTAATGAAAACTTCACTTGGAGATGTTTGGGTTTTTTTGCAAGTAACATTTTTCTCTCATGGAGGAATGTTTACATCTGCTTACTGACTTACTCATCCTGCAGACATCTGTTCAACAGAAACTCACGCTTTTAGAGCCATTCTTCCTGTGCTTTCCAACACTCCCAGTACTTTAAAACCTTCAGGCTGCAGAGAAAACCAATCATTCCCACCAGGCCCCAGTGCTCCCCAGGAGCTCCCCTACTCCCCCGCCCCACCCCAGGTGAACAGCTACCATCCGTGCTGGACTCATCTCCCCAGGGCGAGCAACAGCTTAACCTCAGTTACGGCCTGACATGAACTGTGTTTAAAAATAAATATATGTGTATCTATATCTATGCGTGTGTATGTTATGAGGCCGTTACCAGATCACACAGAACAACTGCTCTCCACTGCAACACGGGACATTCGCAGCCATCGCGGCAGCAGCACAAGCCACTTTCCTCGATGTCACTAACAGTTCAGTGTGAGCAAGTGTAGCGTGGGGAAGCTGAATTTTTAATTCCAGTTACAGCCCAGCATCTTCAAATAACCTCCCCACCAGCCCGACTCACGTACAAAGGGAGCTCCCGGCTCTTCCGGGAGCCTTGGGATGGATACAGCTGAGAGAAAACCCCTCTGAGGGGAGGGAGCGCGTTTAGAGACAGGGGCGGCTGTTGGGACTGGGGCTCCGCTGAGCCGCTGCGGCTCCCACTCCGCAGAGCCACGGGGCCGCCGCGCCCGGCCTCCCCTCAGCCCGCGGCTCTTACCCTCCAGCAGGACTGGCCCGGGACCCGGCTCCGCCTGGCTCTGGCTGCGGAGGAGCCGCCACGCAGCCCAGCACGATACAGCGGCGCCCGCTGCGGCCCCGCACACGAAGCCGCCCAGGAAGCGGCGGTGGCGCGGAAAGGCCGCCATGGCGGCTGGCGGAGGGGCAGCCGAGGCGGCTCTCTGAGCCACACCGCCCCCTGCCGGCTCGGCCGCTGCGGCGCGGGAGCCTGGTCGCCATGGCGGCATCGCCTGAGCGAGGGACCGCCTCAGCGGGGCTGCCGCGCCGCGGGAAAACGAAACGCGGGGAAGGAGCGAAGCGCGATTTGACCGAGAGCTGTGAAAAAGGGAGAGCGAAGGAGCGGGGCTCTCCTCCAGGGGACCGCCAGAGGAGGGGTGCCTAAAGCTAGTCCTCAGGCAGCAATGCAATGCCCCAAGGCATGGTGCAGGGTTGGGTTGAGTCACCATTTGGTGGCTTGACGTCAGACTTTCTGTTAGGAAAACCACCACCCCGATTATCACCGGTTTTCCCTAACAGGTGCCTGTTAATGTTCCTGGCGGCCTCATGTAGAGGATAGATTTGGTTAGAAATTAGGGAGAAATTCTTCCCTGAGAGGGTGGTGAGGCCCTGGCACATGTTGCCCAGAGAAGCTGTGGCTGCCTCATTCCTGGCAGTGTTCAAGGCCAGGTTGGATGGGGTTTGAGCAACCTGGTCTAGTGGAAGGTGTCACTGCCTGTGGCAGGGGGGTTGGAACTGGATGAGCTTTAAGGTCCCTTCCAACCCAAACCATTCTATAATTCTATGGCATGGGTCCACTGCAAACATTTCCAACCCAGCACCAAGCAAGAGGCATTTTTGCTGAAGATCAGCTTAACAATGGCAAAAACATGAGGGCTGTGCCACCACCATGCCATGACTTTAGCACAGGCAGCTTTTTGTTTTTTGTTTGGTTTGCTAGCAGCTTCCCTTAACCAAAATAAAAAACCAGCTGTCCTTGTTAAGGACCTGACTGTGCAGTATCTGGGGGCACACTATGAACAGGGCATGATTGTTCATACTGTTCACGGCTCTAACAGCAGTTGTACATTCGAGGTTCACTTCCAGTGACTGTGAAGGTATTAGTGGGTAAATTTTTGCAATTCAGGTTGGAACCATTTAAGCAATCACTGCCCTTTGCTCTCTCCTCTGATCCTCTGCTAGAGCTAGTGGAAGGGAAGGGCAGACACTTCTCTACATAGTCCTGGGATTTAGCTTAAACCCCCATCAGTAGCAGTTGCAGCTACGTTGCTGGACTTTATTGAGGCAGCTTAGCATGCCCATAATGCTCTTTGTGGGCGGTTCTTTGCTGGGAGTAATAAGCAGTTTTACCACAGTGTATAGAGGCAACACAATTAAAAGGATGCAGTGATTCAAGCTAATTCCTTCTTCCCTTTGGAGGAGTTTGCAGTTGATGGGTAGTAGAGGCCTCAGCTATGACTCTTCAGGGATTTTGTTAGGCATTTTGGATTAGAAATTCCATTAAAACACCAAAACATTCTTATGTAGAAAGTGAAATACTCCAGCTAGATGCCAAATACAATAAAAACAATGATTTTTAACATTGCACCAACAAGAGAAACAGTTATTTGTAATTTACTGTTTATTTTTCATATACAAAAAGATAAACTTGAAATAGTTCTTTCTAGTTTTTTCCTCCTATCTGTTGGGGTGTAGCTGCTTCACACAGGGCAAATACTACATTCATACAAGTTTATTCAGACACCCAGTGCAAAGCTGAAGCAGCAAAACTCCAACTTGGCAGATCTAATTTCAAACTTGAGACTCATTTCTAAAATACCACAGTAAAAAGGAACAAAGATCCACTGCAAATTCATGAACTATGATACAATGTTCTTTCCAAAATGTCTTCATTTCATAACTGCAATACAATGGATATCTGCATTAGGCCATTTTATATATACATTTTATATATATATACTTTTGCAGAATACATATATAAAATATATATATATAAAAAATCAGCACACTTCAGTCCGAAAGGGGTTACAGCAACGAGCTTAACTCTCTGTATACTTTTTTCTTTAACAGGATACTTTAGTATAACTTTTGTTAACTCAGTAGTACAAGCTATCTCTGTTCTACATTTTTATAGCTACAAGAGTGAAATATAACCTACAACATTTACATTTCACATATCTTGGTATACAAACAGTACTTATGGAATTTGAGCCAAGGACCAAAAGACTCTTTAAAAATTATTTCACCATCTGATAGAGCTTCCTGTAATTTACACTCAGTTTATTCTGCAATCTTCTAGATCATTTACTTAATCTCATAGTTTGAGTTTAAATCCATTCAAACTGGAAATCCTGGAGAAACAGGTTACTGCAAACTCTTATGTATACTCTATATATACAAGTTAAGTAACACAGCGTAATAAGACTTAGCTATTTATCCTAAAACTGATATACACATATTTCACTACGCTAGACGAGTCTTAGGATTTTTATTTCTTTAAATAAAGCACAAATTTAGAAGTAGCTGGTAAAACTTACAATAAGATGGTTTAAAATGACAAATGGTTAGGGTGAGATTTCTTTCTGCTGGTGCCAAAACATTTTCTTGTGAGTTTCATACTATGCTGTGTTGTTTAACTGTATGCATCTAATGTTACATGCAGAAAGCTCTTTCCACAAGAATTGACATCAAACTGTACTTAAGTCAACTTTACAGTATAAAATTTGTTAAACTTAAGGACGAATGTGAAAATATTAACAGGTGAAAGATCAGGCTTTCAACTCTATCATGAGGATCATGCAGAATTCATAAGCATATAGTTTGAGCTGGTTGACAATGGCATTGTGCGGACTTACGGCATAGAATTGAGGTCAAGAATGTTACTTAGTTTGCAGTAACCACCTCCTTCAATTCTCATCCACCAACAGATTGACCTTTACATCACAGTTATTCCATTGGAAGGCCAGCAGCATTGCAAAATGCCTCCTTCTGGGAGATTTTAGTACTTTTGTGAAAGATTTTCCAAAGATAATCATAAACCATCAGTAGCCATAGACACATCAGACAGTTGAGGAAAAAAATGGGTAAAGAGAAACACCTCCTTTTCTTCCTTTCATAGTAGTGAATTAATTACTAGCCATTAATTACCAGTAGTTAATTAAGAGAATTACTAATAATAGTAAATTCATTACTATTTGGATTGGAAAGCTACTGTTCTGTCCAATTAAAACTGACTATAATGTTGCATCAGCTACATCAATAGATTTTTTTAAAAACAGACATTTGGGAGGGGAACAGTAAAATGCTAATGACCAAAATGGTCTTATTTTTCCTCAGAAAACATAACCTGAAAAGAATTCTCTTCAGCTAAGTACCATTAAGAAGTCACTGTGATTGAATGTCTGCTTGTATGAGAAGGCTCTTGGGAAAAGGTAGCTGGAAAAAGGAAAGGGCCAGACAGGTTCTAGGTCTTGCCAACATACTCTTTTTGCTACCCACAAAGTTGCTCTAGTACTAAATTAATGTTCTGGAGCTATGAAATGCTCCAACCTCCTCCTCTTATGCCATGGCTGGATTTTTGGTTTGGGTTGGGTGTTTTTTTTGGTGTTCTGTTTTTTACAGGAGTGGCAATACAGAAATGCCAGCGACTACTGAATTAGGATTTTAATTGATTAGGATGTTACTGGTTAAACTTCAGTTCCTCAAAACAGTAGAAAAGCTGAATAAGGTATAGCCAATACCTTTCTTTTCACAAAAAAAACCAGAAGCTATAAAGTCTTCCCAGAACATTTTTTAATTTTGCAATACTGGCCTTACTGGAATGTTACACATTGAGTTTTGGTTGATGGTTTGGGGTTTTTTAATAGCTGGAAAGAGGCCTCTGCTTCAAAATGGGTCAAAAAACGCATAAAGAGTGTTTTAATCACATTATCTGCCCCATTAAAATACTGAAATAAAAGGCTAATAAAGGAAGCACTTTTCAGAAAACACTTTCTTGATAAACATCCAGCACAATGCCATTACAGAGCTTCAGGGAAGCCCTTCTGGTTTCAATGTTGGCAAACAAAAGTTTTGCTTTTTTCCTTCAGTCCTTGGGGATTTTGCTCCGTTTACATATATATAACATATACATATGTGTATATATGTATATGATACATATATATAAACACCCATATATAGCAAGGTTCCTGTTTGTGTATGTTACAATATTGTAGTATCAAGGAGAATCCAGATAGCAACACTGTTTAACATGAGGTTTGAGGTAATTGGTTCTTGAAATACCTGGATCACAGACTGCATCCAGAAATAACAGCTGGGCAATGAAAAGTGTTTTTTTCAGACAGAAAAAAAACTAGTAAAAGGTGAAAAGGAAAAAAAAAAGCTTACAGCAGTTGCTTTTACATGTCAAAATAAAGGCACAACAGAATAGCATTACATTTCAGAACAGCTGGGTGGACGTAACACCAGTATTACCTCTTTCTGTGGAAATGTCCTGACATAAAGGATTACTGCTTACTTGAGAGGTTACTGATTCAGTCAGGGAACTGAGCGTCACCCTAAAACTAGAGTTTTGAAAGAGAAGTCCCATGTAAGTAAAGGACCAGGTGTGTTTGGAAAGCGCTCCAGGAACACACAAACACATACTCATGTTCCCACAGAATTGGATGGCAGCTCTCCCCTTGGCTTCCACAAGGCCAGGATTTCACTGAGAACATGGACGGCAGGTCTCTGCAATGGTAGGAGCCTGCTTGAGGTCACCTAAGCACTAATTTCAAAAGGCACACTGTCAAGCCAGCTTCAAGGGATTGTGGCACATTGTTTGGTTTAAAGCTTTTCTCAGGAACTCTTACCCCGATGACACTGTGTTGTCAAAGTTAAGGGAACCAGAAAGACTGGAGTGAATTTTAGGTTCAGTGGGAAAAGTTAGCTTAAGTGAAAAGAATACATTGTAAAGTTTTTTCTTTCATACTTTTAGAATACCTTGGTTATGCAAACTTGGAATGCTTTTTTTCCAAGTAGGACTTTGGACATGACAGTGCTCCTTTACTTTAGTGCCTCAAACCCACTCTGTGAAATCTGACATTGGGAACACAGAACATGTATCTGCATGCTCTGTTGTGGCCTGATAAGTTGTGTCACTTCAGAGAGAAGGAACTTCTAGGAATTGGTTTTATCA